GAGAAAAACATATATCTTCTTGCTATACACTTATAATTATGCAATATACATACATTTTAATTCGATTCAACTGTATGCAAAGCTAATTATACAATTGCAGCGAAATAGGCGAGCGAATTATACAATTTAGGCCAGCGAATTATACAATTTAGGCCTGCGAATTATACACTTGTATATGTATAGCGAATTATACAGTTTTTATGTTTGTTATGGAGCGCAATTATGCAAAGTTTGCTATAGCATACAAATATGAATTTTTTATTTGCTATATGTGAAAGTTGCCCTGATATTTATCCATTCTCTTAAATATAAGAGTAAAAATTAAGTGTTAGCATGAAAAATCATTCTCATTCTCTTAAATATAAGAATAAAAATTAAGTGTTAGAATGAAAAATGAATCTCTCATATTATTCATTCTTTTAAAGCACAAGACCTAACAAACAATATTACTAGATTATTACTAAAAATTATTAATAAAAGTCAGTTTGAATTAATTTTTGATTTATGACTTATAAATCAAAAGTTATAAGTTAGAATTTATAACTTATGACTTTTAATTTTAAAATAATTTTTAACTTTATTCAAATACTTAAAATTGTTTAAAAATTATTTTAACTTAAAAACAACTAAAATAAATCAATTCAAAACGGTCGCAAATTCTCGTGCAACACAAATTGAATAGTTAATTGGCCCTCAACGACCACTAGAAACTAGAAAGTAAAACCTATTTTCTTTGTTTTGTGCCGATTAGTCAACAACCAGTAAATTAGAAAGGAATGTAGGTGTTGCCGTGTTGCACTCGCCAACGTTAAAAACATTATTATATAATAATAATAATAATAATAATAATAATAATAATATACTATATATTATATACTTTATTATAATCATAAAATTAAAAGTATATCAAAATATTATCTAAAAAAGCTTAAAATATTCTTTAATTATGTAAATTGGAACAAAAATACTTTTCTTTTATCTTTTGGCTCTAAAATATCCTTGACGGACCTTTAACTCTATTTTGCCATTATTTTTAATAGTCTAAATAATAATATCAATTAACAAATTAATTTATAACGTGTTCACTATTATTTAATCCTTTTCCGAAATATTATTTAGATATAATACATATATTGAATTATAAATTTGACTTCAAATTATAACTTTGACATCCAACTTTCATAATACACAAACACACACTTTAACTATCCAACTTTTAAATACATAAACACATGAGTCATATATGACGCAATGCACGTAGGACAAAAAATAACATGTAGAATGACATGTATGTTTATTTGTTTAACTTTATACAAATTTAAGTGTGCATGTGTACATATCTAAAATTAAAGAATATAAATATAATTTAAAATCAAGTTAAAGAGTACATTTATGTATTATGATTATTTATTTAATCGCGGAGAACTACGCAAACAAATGAGATAATAGAAACAAAAAGTGAAAAGAGCATAGAAAATAGTGAAACCATACAGTGGATACACACTTGTTTTTTTGAAAGTCAAAAGTTCACACACTATTACTACTACCTCTATTTATACTCCCAATATGTCACTCTATTACTCTCATCCACTCTACAACAATGGAAGAGAAGCTCATTTCAGTTCTCTTCTTCTTCACCATTTTTGCTGCAGCTCATTCTCTTCAGTATCAAACACTGACCCTAAATCCTCTCCCTCAACTTCAATCTCTCTCATGGGAACCACAACTATCTTCCGATAACGAAAATACTCTCTCTGTACAATTACACCATGTCGACTTACTTTCACCTTCATCCTTCAACGCAACTCCTCATGC